TTGGGGCTGTTTTCAGTGGGATGGGGCTCAATAAAACCATCTTGCTGCATTCCTGGGGAGAGATGTCCCCTCTCAAGAGAGGTTACAGGCCTCAGAGGTACAGCAGTGCCTATCAGTTTTGCCCACGCACACCCTGGAAGGGGCCAGCTGTGCTGTGGCCACATGAAGGGGCACTGGAGGCTCCTGTGAAGGGCAGCCAAAGCTGCTGTAAACTCACCCCTTGGGGCTGTGCATCTGCTCCAGCAAGATCTGCACCACACGGACACCCCTTGGCTCCTCATGACCTCTGGCCAAAGCTCTCCTGGGAGAGGCCCCGGGACTCAGCCAGCGCCGGTTGACATGCCCAGAGCCTGTGGTCCCCACTGAAAGGGCTAAGGCTTTGCGGGCGGAGGAAGGCCGAGTCCTGCTCACATGCCCCGTGGAGTCTGTGCCTGAACACACTCTCCTTGAGCTCACTCTCTCAGCTGGGACCAGCTGCCTGCCCCCACTCCTATTCCTCTCCACAGTCAAGGAGAACATGTCCAAAAGCCCCACAGTGTCATGAGGAAGAGCTTAACGATGAGGTGTCTGTGCTGAAGGCCAGCCTGCTGTGGTGGGTCCTCACCCAGCCCTATGCCCTGGCCTCTGGACCGAGTCTCAGCTCCCCAAACGCTTCCTCCTCCCATGCCCCAGCCCTGGATATGGAATCCAGCTGGGGCCTTGCTGTCCTTCCCTCCAGAACCCTAGTCTTGGGCCTTGGGAGTTCCTGGCCCACCAGGAGGGACACTGGGCCATCACGTGCCCGGCCTGGTGGGCCACCTGCATTCTGTAAGGATTCCCCCAGCCCTGCTGACGCCTGGACACAGCCATTAGGGTGAACCCATCTCCACTACCAGGCTCACCAGATGGAAGGGGCTTGGTCTGGGTTGGGGGCCAAGAGGCAGGAGAAAGCTCAGAGGTTGTCACCACTCACCCTGGGTGGGTCATCGCCTGTCCCAGAACTCAGGGGCTGGCCTTCTGGCCCGGCATCTCTGCACTTAGCACCGTGCCAAACTCTGTCCTACAAGGGGGGCTGCGGTGTTTGAGGGAAGTGAGCAGCTCTGTGGTCAGAACTTCCCTTCAATTCTGGGTGTCCCTGGGGGCCTCCTCCTCATTCCCCCCACCCCCGGCATCTGCTCCCTAGCTGAATGGAGGCCATGGAGGCTCTGAGAACCCTTCCAGCCTCTTCCTGGGCCCAGGGCAGGCACCAAGGGAGGCAGAAGGAGCCAGCCTGGGGTGGGGCCAGGGGTGGTGTGTGCTGAGTCAGCAAAGGCCAAGTCTCATCCACTCCACAGGCCAGCGTGGCCGCGGGGAGGGCCCTGGGGAAGCCTCCGGTCCCCTGAGAGGCAGATCCCGCTGTGGCCCCACTGCTCAGCCTGCCGTTCACCCTGACATCTGCAGAAGTCCAGGAACTATAAGGGAAAAAGATTAACATGATCGCATTAAAAAATAAAATGTTACGTGAGACAAAATCACTAGCAACATGAAGATACAAATGATAAAGCAGGGAAGGCTGTGCAGCGTTTCGCAGTTACCGTCTGCGAGTGAAAGAGCCGCTAACGCAGAAAGAAGGAGGCTGCAGTCCCAGGGGAAACAGGTGGAGACGCAAACGCCCCCGGGCACCCGGCTGTGTGCGATCTCGCTCCTAAAAAGAGAGATGTTAACGGCAGCTGCCGGACACAGGGAGGGTGGCGAGGACAGCCCGGCCCAGGGGGATGGTGACCGGGAAGGGAGACGGAAGGGGAAGGGGTACCGGGAAGGGGAGGCAGGGTACCCGGAAGGGGAAGGGGTACCGGGAAGGGAAACGGGGTACCGGGAAGGGGGGCGGGGATACCGGGAAGGGGGTGGGGTACCTAGAAGGGGGTCAGGGTACCCGGAAGCGGGGCAGGGTACAGGTAGGGGAGGCGAGTGTGTCTTTGCTCAGGATTTCCACGCCAGGGATCTTTTCCGCAGAAGGACCAAGGCCATCAGCCATACTGAGAGTGACCGAGACGTCCATGGGAAGGGTCACACCACGGGCCAGGCTGCGGCAGAAAGGAAGGGTCCCTGTGTCGGCATGGAGGGATCTCCACTTTTCCGTGCACAGATGTGTGGTTTACCTGCATCAAATACACACCACACCAAGGAAGGCCACGCCAAGGAAGGCCATGCCAAGGAAGGCCATGCAAAGAGGAAACACTCGGCCACAGGGAGGAGAGCAGACGGGGACAGCGCACAGGCGAGGACAGTGTGGTCTCCGTGAATTCAGCTTGTGTTTTGACTCTGGACCATAAATAATTTTATGTAACATGGAACAAAATCCCAGTGCTTTGCCTTTTTAAAAAATTTTAGACAGGGTCTCACTCTGTTGCCCAGGCTGGAGGGCAGTGGCACGATCTCGGCTCACTGCAATGTCCGCCTCAGCCTCCCAAGTAGCTGAGGTTACAGGTGTGTGCTACTATGCCCAGATAATTTTTGTATTTTTAGTAGCGATGGGGTTCACCATGTTGGCCAGGGTGGTCTCGAACTCCTGACCTCATCTGATCCGCCCACCTCAGCCTCTCAAAGTGCTGGGATTCCTGGCAGGAGCCATCACGGCCAGCACGTTTTGCTCTTTTAATGGTAAGTGCACGTTGGGTGGTTGTGAGTGCTGGATCTCTGCGCAGCCTGGATGGACGTGGCCCTTCAGAAAGAACCACATGAATGACTTGGTCCCTGGAGGGTGCCTGGACCACACCAGTGCACATCAAACCCAAAGCCCGTGGCGGGTGAGTGTGGTGATGGCTTCCTGGTACTCTGAGGGTCTCTGGCAGCCAGCACATGGGCTGCTTCTCAGCTCCACCTTTTCAACAAGGAACCGCCTTCCCAATGTCCTGGCATGACAGGGGCCCCATTCTCCAGCTCAGCCCCGTCTCCTGGCTTCTGAAGTGCCGGTGCCAGGCCTGCCAGCTGCAAAGACCCAGGACACCTGGGATGTGGGCCTTGCACGTGGGCACCAGGCCACGTTCTGGAGAGACAGCCCCGGGGCCCTGGCCTGCTGTTATCACTGGCACTCCGTGTCACCCACTCCCCATCCCCACCGCCAGGCCCTCCCGCTCTCCCGCTCTCCCAGCTCTGCACTGAAGCGCTGTGGTTCCCCGGCAACCCTGGTGTTCCATGGAAGGGATGCCCTGGCAGGTATGGCTGGCACAGGGGTCAGGTGGCAGACAGGGAGCAGACAACCTACTATGTCCATGAAAGGCCACGTTCAGGCGGAGGCAGAGGCCCTGCCGGGTGCGGCAGAGAGGGAGCAAACACCCCACCATTTCTGTGAAAGGCCACGTTCAGGTGGAGGCAGGGGCCTGGCAGGCATGGCTGGCACAGGGGTCGGGCGGCAGAGAGGGAGCAGACACCCTACTGTTTCCATGAAAGGCCACATTTCGGCAGAGGCAGGGGCCCTGCCAGGGACGCCTCAGGGGTCAGGTGGCAGAGTGGGAGCAGACACCCCACCGCTTCTGTGAAAGGCCACATTCAGGTGGAGGCAGGGGCCTGGCAGGCATGGCTGGCACAGGGGTCAGGCGGCAGAGAGGGAGCAGACACGCCTGTGTCCGTGGACACTGCAGCAATGCGTGTGTGCCTGGGTGAGGGCATCCTGGAGTTCCGGAGTGCCTTTCACACGTAAGGATGTTCTGTTCCCTGCGCATGAGCCAGTCATCACTGGGGCTCAGGCTCCTGAGTCGGGGGTGCCACAGTTCCCAGTGGGCTCTCTTACAACAGGGTCGTGTTCCACACTCACTCCCAGATGGAAATGGCCTGGAAATGAAAAGGCACAAACAGAATCACCCAGCAGGGAGAGGGTGCCTGGGCCTGAGCAGCAGGCCCATGCCCACCGCAGTGCAGGGAGGAGCCCCTGGGCCTCCCTCCTCTCATTCAGTCCGGGAGGCAAAGCTCAGGCTTGATCTGAAGGTACAGTCACTGTTCCCAGTCTGCTAACGCGTGAACGCCGCGATTCTGATTCCTCACTCCTACATATTGTGAATTAAGGTAAAAAATACTCGGGAACAAACATGGTAAACCTTCCCGTAAAGGACTTTATTTCTCTATTTTTATATGGATCATTTATTAAATTAGAAGACTAAAAAGTAAAAATATATTTTACAATCAAAGAAAAATCTGGACAACAGACCCCAATAAAATAATCGGAAGCTCATGTTCTGAGACCCCTCCCTCGGGCACCCTGCAGAACAGCATCTGCAGGGGGGAGGGGAGGCAGGAGCTTCAGGGCAGCATCTGCAGGGGGGAGGGAGGGCGGAAGCATCAGGGCAGCATCTACAGGGGAGAGGGGAGGCGGGAGCCTCTGGGCAGCATCTGCAGGGGGGAGGGGAGGAGGGTGTGTCCCAGCAGCATCTGCAGGGGGGGAGGGGAGGTGGGAGCCTCCAGGCAGCATCCGCAGGGGGGAGGGGAGGAGGAAGTGTCCCAGCAGCATCTGCAGGTTGTGGGGGAGGGAATGGGGAGGCAGGAGCGTCTGGGCAGCATCTGTAGAGGGGAGGATAGGCAGGAGCTTCGGGTGACTCCAGGTGCCCTCGCCACACACGCAGGCCCCGGCAAGCGAGGCCCCAGGCTACACAGGTCCAGAACACCTGGGCTCTGACACCACCCACTGGCATCTGCCCAGCAGGGGACAACACAGCCGGGCCATGCCACGGGGGCCCCCGCCCCAGGCTCAGAGATGGCCCAGTCAGGCCGTCCTCAGTGACCGCTACCACAGAGCTGGCCAGTGGCCTGCATCTTCAACCCAGGAGCAGGAGCAGCCCTCAGACACCAGGGGCCTCAGCCCAGCTCCCAAACCCACTGCGGCCTCCCCTCTGAGCCAGTGAACACACCTGTCCTGAGTGCTACGACCTCATCCACACCCGACACAGGAGGGGGCAGGGGATGTGAAACGGCTAATTCTGGGGACCCCTCAGAGGGATCAGCAAGCAGCTTCGTGCAGTAAGCCTTCAGGCAGGAAATGAAGCATAAAGTGAAAGAAAGAAGAATCTCATTTAATTAAAGGCCTTATAAAATGTGACTCATCTATTAAAAAAATAAAGTGTTCATGAAGAAGAAAACTAAGCGATGGTGGCCGGCGTGGCGTCAGGGGTGAAGGTGGTGCTCCCTCCAGTGAGGCCGGCCCCCTGGGCCCCCACACGGGCTGCTCCAGGGGCCGGCAGCAGGGGCCACACCCTCTTCAGCAGACACCCACAGAGCCACACGTGCACGCGTGTGGCAGTCTCACTGCACCCCAGCAATGCGGAGGCAGAAACCCACGCTTATGGTCACACCTGGGCGCCGGGTCGACGAAGCCCCAGCACAGCGAGGCCTCCCAGCATGGCCTGCGGCCAGTCCCCGGTTAGTGTCGCTAATATCACGGAACACAGCATCTAGAACGTTCCAGTCCTGCCTGACACCTTCATTCCCAATGGAGAAGAAATCTACACAGGCACAGGACAAGGCCATCTGAGACAGAATACCAGGGCCTCTGTCTGAGTGGTCGGCCTCTGCTGCCACCAGCCCTCCCCACAGCCACCACACGCTTCTACAGGTTTACAAAAATAAATATTTATGAACAACATATTTAACAAAAACCACCAACAGGTGGCAGAAAGCAGTTATTTTCTAGCTGACACTAAAACTTAACTTCTTTTTTACAGGGAGAAAAAGACTAAAATGAAAGCACTCACTTCCCCCGCCTGCATCTTCCATGGAAGACCCGCTGTGAGCATTCTCTCTCTGTCCTATCAGAGGATGCACATCCAAAGGCTGGGAGCAGACACGAACCTCGAACACGCAGGGCACGCAGCTGTGTGCACGGGAGTCTCACCGGCATGCGGGTCAAAGTGCAACACTTTTGAGAAGCTTTGGAATTTCTGATTTTCATCCTCTAATCTGTCCTGTGAGCCAAGATGCCGCACACAGAGCCCAGGCAGGCGGAGGTACCCTCGTGCCTCAGAAAGCCTTCCAGTGCCACATTTGCCAGGCCTCCCTCGCCACACTGAACCCAGGCCGTCGTCAGCAGTCGGCTGGCAGTGCCACGATGCCCTCTCAGAAACATGCACAGTGCTGCCTCTATCACCTCCCAGCCCACCCTTGCAAGGCCTGTTGAAAAGAGACCCCCCGGTAGCCGGCATGAGTGTGGCAGGAGACGGACAGCAGCCTCTGGCGGGCGAAGGGCCCTGCTTCAGATGCCTGCTGGCTGGCAATCAGGCAGCGCCTGGGTGGCTGTGCCAGGCTCCCTTCCTCACGCCAGGTGGGGGTTCATCTTGCCTTCAGGCCGCAGTCTGTCACAGGCTGGCTGGACAGTGACCAGATGAGCGAGGCCAAAGGCCATCCACAGGAAGAAGTGGCTCCGCTCACCAGACCCAAGCCCTGGGCAGGGGCCAGGCTCACAGCAAAGCACGTCAGGGCAAGGGCTTGAGTTTTTGACTGGGAAGTTCTAAAAAACACCCACAAATCAGTATGACGGATTGTGTATGCCTTACATGAACAGCTCTATTCCAACTGTCACGTAACATAATGCCATGAATCGAATCAGACAGGCAGGCGCCCGACAGCCTCCAGCACCCAACACCCTGGCAGAAGCAGCTGCTCTCGACAGCAAGACCATTTTCCAGAACAGCAGAGAAGGGGAGACGCACGTCCCGGGGACAGGAGCACGCCGAGAACCCCCAACACAAGACGAGAGGGGAGCCCCACCCAGTCCTGGGCCGCCGGGAACTGACAATCCACATGCATCCCCAGAACAGGTGTGGACGGGGTGGCACAGACGTGGCTGTGGAGGGGCGACACAGGTGCTCTTTCATGGAAATCTTGGTGGGACAACATTCCTTGGGGGAAACCAGGCCGGCAACAGAGCTGGGCAACAGGCAGCAAGGCGGGGGCTCTACGGCTCCTCCCCCATCTGCAGCAGGGAGTTGATGGCGGCGTCCTTGTTCCCTTGCTGGGCTTCCAGCACAGAGCGGATCACCTCCTGCTCCATGTTGGGGAACACGTCCTGGATGGCTTTGAGGTCCTCCTCGCTATAGCGGGGCTGGGTGTTCACAGCGGCTGGGGGCAGGGCCACGGGCACCATGCCGGGGCTGCAGACAGCAGGCATCCCTGGAAGCAATCATCAAGTTTGGTGAAAACATCGGAAGGTTACAGAAGTGCCACACTAGCTCCTGCTGAAGGACGAAACAACACATCCCACCACCTCGGATCTCAGCAAACACCAGTCCTGCAAGACACCCTTGAAGCCCACACCCTCCAACACAAACCCACCGACACCCGCACCCTCCGACACCAACCCACCGACACCCGCACCCGCCGACACCAACCCACAGACACCCGCACCCTCCGACACCAACCCACCGACACCGGCACCCACCGACACCCGCACCCTCCGACACCAACCCACCGACACCCGCA